TGCTGCTAGATTGAAGTTTCGGTGGTTCGGTTGGGATTGAAAGGAGTTGTTTGTAGCTGCTAGTTTTGCTTAGTTTAGAGTTACTTGCGAGTACCTGTGGTTTTTGGCACTCACCCTTGCTTCTACACAATTGTGTAGGTTGACAACTCTCTCTCAGATTCGGCTTAGTAGTTTCTTTAGCAGATTGAGCTTCGGGACATACTCGAGAGGTAGCGGTTCATTCCAGATGTGCCCTTGAGTTATCTTTACTTTCAGTTTTGTTCTATTCGAGAACTATACTCTGAGACTTGTATATTTTTATTCGAATTCTGTATTTAGAGGTTTGTACATGTGACAACCAAATTCTGGGTAGTGTTGAGTCTTAATTAAAGTCTTCCGCTTATTTATTATCTTTTATTCTCGTATTTCTACTTCTCTATCGTTGTGGTTGGGTTAGGCTGACGTGTCCGGTGGGAAATGGACACGTGCCATCACATCCGGATTTGGGGGGTGACAGGGTCTGTCAGAAACAACCTCTCTACCTTCGCCTAGGTAGAAATAAGTTTGTTCTATTATTTCCATTTCTTTCACCTGTAAAAATTGGCAAAATAATGGAATAGATCGAGTGATGTGATAAAAGGCACAGAAAATATTCTAATTTGTGTCGGACGACATGCTTTAAACTATCAATTGTATGTTCAGATTTTAACATCTGATGCACACTGTGATTCTTATATACCAAATTACAGTTCTTGTATTATAATTTGCAGTCCACAAATTAAACGGTCTTAAGATCCAACTCTCTAAGAGACTAAATTTAGTTTTGCCTGGGGGATGCTAATAAAATACCCCCCTCCCCTAGATGTAGGTCCTAATGTATTATTATGTTCCATTATTTGCTCCGTATAGAGAGTATGAGCTGAATTAGGAGCGCAAATGATTCATCTAAACCTTATTTGTCGGAAGATTTTATATATATCTAAGGGTAAGTTCAACAGAGTAGCTGTTAGACTAGTAGTATCGTATGAGACAAGAGTGTCGAGGAGGAGGTGCACGAATCCATTAGTTAGGAAGAGTGGGAGGTTGGTTGTAGCAGCAAGGGATAGGAGAGGTAGATGTAGGCTAAAAAAGAACAGGAGGAGGTGGCATGACTTGACACACCTTCAACTTACTAAGGATATGACCATAAATACGAAGATATGAGGTCGAGAAGGTTAGTAAGTGATAAAGTGTGGTCGCTCGTTAGGTGGGAGAGGCAAGGGGCTTGCCTCGTATCCTCTTCTCCTAGTAGTAGTATTTAGTAATCATGTAGTAGTTTTTTTATTCTTCTATGTGTTTCTACTATTTGTTGCTTCATTTTGCTCCGTGTCTTGATATTTTGTTGTTATCTTTTTTCTTGTGACCCGTCTATCAATAACTTCTCTTTTAAGCAGAAGTTCTATCAGAAACAACCCTTCTACTCATAAAGATAGTGTATGACTTGTGTTTCAGACCCCACTCATGGATTATACTAAGTTGTTATTGTTATTATATATATTTAATTCGTTCGAATTCTTTATGTATTTATTTCTTTATATTCCGGTCCAAGGACCACTAAGAATGCGTGTGTGCAAGGTCATTTCCTTTTTGATAATGGTATGCACGAGTCTTTTTTCTATTCTTTTGGCGTAAAAAGGACGAACTCTTTTGCATAGTTAATTAATATAGAAGTAGTTACGACACATAAAAAGGACCATGACTTAATTACTACTCCCTCCGTCCCTATTTACTTGTCCATATTTCCTTTTTAAGTTGTCCCTATTTAGTTGTCCATTTTGACAAATCAAGAAAGGACAACAAATTTTTTCCTATTATACCCTTATTTACACTTCTTGAAAATTGTAAAAGTGTATGTTGTTTCCCTCCAATTTATTTCACTTTAATTCAAATAAGTGGTTGTAATTTTGAAGTGAAAAATTGTCATAAGGGTAAAATTGTAACTTCACTGTGCTAATCATTGTTGCCTTAATCTGTGTGCCATTTCTAAAGTGGACAACTAAAAAGGGACGGAGGGAGTATTCAACTGTGATATTAAGAATCCAATTTTGGTTTTTGAGTCAATGTATTGTACCTTAGAAGTTTAGGTACATGACAATAACTTAAAGGAAATAAATATTCCTATCGTCCGTCTTTACTTGTTCATTACATATGTTTGATTTGATACACCTTTAGAAAACAATAAATTATAGGATAATTTTACTAAGTTATCCCTATCAATTACAGTTCATCTAAATGTTGGAAAATGAATACTCTCGAATAAGTACTTTTAGTATATTGAACAAGTAAAGATGAACGGAGGAATTAAGTAAACTAGCCTTGTGGAAACTGGAAATATATTCCAGTGGGTGCCCTTTTTCTAAGGTAAAGATAAAGACCGGAAAAACAAAACCAATATAAAGGACCAATAGTGAGTGACTTTTGACAAGTACTCCATGGGAAGACAAATGCAACTCTCTCTCTCAATTATTCCAATTCTAATCTATTCCCCACTTGTATCATGAGTTTATATGAGAAGACTTTGAATATATTCTTTTATACCATATAATTCAAAAATAGGCCTAGTTGAGTTACCATTTTTCTTGCTTTCACAATTTTTTTTTATAGGTAGTGGTTAATGATGGTGGTTGATTATGGTAATTGATTGTGATGATTGATAATTGTGGTTGACGATAGTGATAATTAATAGTGGTGATTGATAGTTACGACTGTTGATATATAGTGATGGTTGATGATGGTGATTGTCAGTATATAGTGATGGATGGTTATTATAATAATAGTTGTTGATGGTAACGATCGAATATAATGACTAATGGTGATGACTAGTTGTGGTAATTGATGATAGTGGTGGTTATGAATGAGGACGGTGGTCGTAGGTAATGAATGATAATAGTTAATAATGGTGGGCATTAGTAATAGTTAGAAATGAAAAAGGATGGAGTAACAGTTAATGTCATCTTTAAGAATCCTTGATATTCAAGATAGATTAAAGGTTGGTTCACAAAGTCATATAAGAGACAAGCTAAATAAAATAATTTACCGATACTATTGAATATAAAATCTTTTGAATCAAGTACGGAATATTTTCTATATCTTCCTTGTTTACAAGATAAACAACTTAATTTAGAGTATATCGTGTTCATCACCACACTGATTGATGGTGCATTGGCCTAATCATGAGAATTTCAAGAGCGATATATTTCGTGACAAGCATTGCCTTGTATTTACTTTTTTAGATAATTTATATAACTTCAAAAGAATCCTTCTTTATAAATCGAGTATCATTCATAATATATAATTTTTATATATGGTCACTAAATCACAATTCTCTCATCAATATAACATTAAAGTCTCAATAGCTAAAATTATAACCTTCCAATGCACTAACATATATTTTTTTGGCTGATTTAAATTGCTATTTAAATACTTTGTACATTTTAACTTATTTTTTTAATCTAATGAAGACAATTCAACTGTGATATTAAGATCCCAATTTTGGTCTATGAGTCAATGAATTGTCTCTTTGGAATTTTTGATACGACAATAACTGAGAAATAAATAAACTGAAAATATCTTGTGGGTTCCCTTCTTCTAAGATAAAGATAGACTGGAATTTTTTTTTAATAAAGGACCACTAATGACTTTTGACAAATTAATTTACAAGTTCTCCGTGAGAAGGCATGCAAATGCAACTACCCCAATTAAGTCCAATTATATTTGAGCAGATTCAAAATTTAAAGTTTAAAGTTTAGAAAAAAATTTAAAAACCTTTCTTTACGTTTTGTTTGTTTTACAGGTCTTTCTCACATTTGCAATATTACGACTACAACTCTTGTATTTTATTTTATTTATTTTTAATAAAATAATAATATATATCAGGATTGATTTGTCCTCTCTAAAATCATGCTCTTTTAATTAATTATTATTTTACTAATATTATCTTCAAAAGTTATTTATCGTTAAGGAATACTGAAATAGAATACTATGAATTGTTCACCATTACTCTTGAGGTTGTTGTACAAGGGAGGTAGATGAAACATTGAAAATATGAATTCATATTAATTTGTATTTATTATAATTTTGGTATATTTTAATATATAAATTTATATTCTACGTCAAAAATATGTGAACTCATATTGAAATATTGAATTCGCCCCTGAATTTATATTCCTTTCCGTGTGTGTCATACGTGATGCGTATTTGGGAGAAGACTTCTAATTCTTTAAAAAAAATTAATTCCAAATAATTCAAAAATGGGTCAGATGAAATCACTAATTCTTTTTGCTTTCATTTTTTTTTTACTAATATGATGTTTAAATGATATGAAATTATTTATTCATTTTTGTCATGTTTGAAATTTGGATCATGATCTTTAAAACTTACGTCCACACTTTATCGATCATTAAACCAATCGTTAATTCTTTCTTTTTAATATAGTTTAATTCTTCCATCAACAACCAAGCCTAATAATGATAACCATCTTTGTTAGCCGCCTCAATGTCAAAAAAAACATTTGCCTATTTATATATTGTCGGGTTCATTTTTATTTGTTCAATATTAATTTAACATATTTTTAGAGAATAATAAATAAAATAATTGAATCAATGCAATAAGAATTGATTAAAGTTAATAATGTATGGATTAGGAACTGAGTATAATGAACGAGTAAAAATAAACGGAATAAAAGTACCAACTTTAAAATTAAAGAAAAAAAAAAACATGTACTCAGATCATTGTCATTCTTAAATTCCCACTTGCTAATAAATTATTATAGTATTAATACTTTACTATCTTTGTCCTTTCAATTTGAACCAACCAAGATGTTTCTTTTATTTTATTTTTTAAATTCTTGAACCAATTTGAGATGTTTGACTAATATTTCTAGATCTTGAAAAAAAACAACCTATACATTATAAAGCAACCTCATCACTTCTTTCCCTTCATCTACTTTCAACATTTATGATTTTATCCAAATTCTTGAAACCATGAAAAGTTTGAAACTTTACTATCTTTTTCCCTTTTTAGTTTTATCATTTCTTGTTTTGTCTTTCCCTTTGATAACATCATCAAGTATTTTGCTTAAAGGTGATTCTTTTTCAGTTAAAGATGATTCACATTTCATTACTTCTCCACAAAAAACATTCACTTGTGGTTTTTATCCTATAGAAAGTACTAGTAATGCTTATTATTTTGGAATTTGGTATACAAATTCAAGAGACAAAACTGTTGTTTGGAATGCTAAACAAGATAGGCCTGTTAATCTCAAAGGGTCAAAGTTAACATTAAGAAAGAATGGAGCTTTCGTTTTAACAGATGTTGATGATACAATTGTTTGGCAAACAAACACAACATCATTTGATGTTGAAAAGGCTGAGGTTCTTGAAACAGGAAACTTAGTATTGAAGAACCCTAAAGGTGATATTTTGTGGCAGAGTTTTGATTTGCCTACTGATACTTTATTGCCTGATCAAAGATTTACCAAGAATCATAGATTAGTTCCTCCTTTGAGGAAAGGGAGTTTATCACCTGGATACTTTAGTTTGTACTTTGATAATGATAATGTATTGAGAATGATTTATGCTGGTCCTTCAGTTTCGAGTATATACTGGCCTAATCGCGAAAGGAGTGCGCCTCAGAATGGTAGAACTAGTCAGCTGGATACTTTAGTTGCACATTTTGATGGAATGGGTAGATTTTTCTCAAGTGATATGTTGCAATTCAATGTTTCTGATATGGGGTTTGGGATATTGAGAAGATTGACTATAGATACTGATGGGAATTTGAGGATGTATAGTTTGGATAACTTGACAGGGTTGTGGAAGATGTCGTGGCAAGCTATTGCACAACCTTGTGCTGTGCATGGAATATGTGGAAGATTTTCGATATGTACTTATGTATCGAAGCCTAAATGTACTTGTCCTCCTGGATATGAGATTGTTAATGGAAGTGATTGGAGTAGAGGTTGTAGTCCAATGTTTAGATCAAGAAGTTTGGAGTCTAAACAACATGTAAAGTTTGTGGAGATTCCTAATGCTGATTATTGGGGTTTTGATCTCAATGCCATTACTCCTTTGTCATTTGAATCTTGTAGGGCATTGTGCTTGGACGATCCAAGTTGTCGTGCATTTGTTTATAGGTTAACTGGTGTGGGATCATGCTATACTAAAGGCATCCTTTTTAATGGATACAGGTCTCCTGGTTTCCCTGGAACTGTATTCTTGAAACTCCCTATGAATCTAAGTGCATCAGAATCAGGTCATTTGATGCTTGAAGGTACTGATGCAAAATGTGGATTGAGTCCCGAAAACTCTCTTTTTGGTTCTCTTTCTATGTATGTATTGGATTTTAAGAAGGTGAAGTGGATTTATCTTTACGTGTTTTGTTTCACCCTTGGTGGAATAGAGATTATGTTCTTCATGTTAGGCTGGTGGGCGTTGTTTAGTAAACATGGGATTCCTGCTTCCATTGAGTATGGATATAAAATGGTGTCATCGACTCAGTTCAGGAGGTTTACGTATACTGAACTTAAGAAAGCAACAAAAAACTTCAAGGTTGAGCTAGGAAGAGGAGGTTCAGGAGCTGTTTATAAAGGAGTTTTAGCAGACGGAAGAGCGGTAGCAGTCAAGAAACTTTCAAATGAGTTTCAAGAAGAATTTTGGGCAGAGATGACTACCATAGGAAGAATCAACCATATGCATTTGGTGAGGATGTGGGGATTTTGTTCTGAAGGTAGACGTCAGCTTTTGGTCTATGAATACGTCGAGAACTCATCACTTGACAGGCATCTTTCCAGGGCTGATATTCTTGGATGGAAACAAAGGTTTGCAGTGGCACTAGGGACAGCCAAAGGTCTGGCATATCTTCATGATGAATGTCTTGAATGGGTGATTCATTGTGATGTGAAGCCTGAAAATATACTTCTCGATAGTGAATTTGAGCCCAAGATTGCAGATTTTGGACTTGCAAAGCTCTCCCAAAGAGGTGGCCCTGGTTCAGATTTCTCCAAGATTCGCGGTACTAAAGGCTACATGGCTCCTGAATGGGCTTTGAACCAACCTATAACAGCAAAAGTTGATGTTTATGCCTTTGGGATTGTAATACTAGAAATGATCAAAGGAAGTAGGCTGTCAAGTTGGGTGGTGGATGATAGTGAATGTGATCACGAACAAGATTCACAGCTCGGAAAATTTGTCAGGATGGTGAAGAGGAAGATTCAAAGTGGAGAAGATTCTTGGGTGGAGAAAATTGTCGATCCACGACTAGAAGGCAAATTTAGCAAGAACCAGGCAGTGACACTGATTGAAATAGGCATTTCTTGTGTTGAGCAGGACAGAAACAAAAGGCCTACAATGGCCTCAGTAGTCCAAACATTGCTGGATTGTGAAGATGAAACAACACATATAACATAGGAATTTCCATTTCTAAATGTAAACACTGATTGGAATTTGTGAATGGAAATTGAATAAACCATTTTGTTTTTTCATTTTTGACTATCAAAACTCTTATAATTCTCTTAATATCCGCGCGTTAACTTCTGCAATCTTGATCATATATACAAGCTAATTCTGTGATGGAAATCTTTCATCTTTAACTAAAAAATTTTAACAGAGGACTCAAAATACACAAATAGAAGTTCTTCATTTAGAGTTTTCAGACAATAGATCAACATCTTGCGAAATCTTAAGTAAACAACAACAAGAAGTAGGGTTTGGGGAGGGTAACATGTAGGCAACCTTACCCCCTGCCTTTGGGATAGAGAGGTTGTTTCCGACTGACCCTTGGCAACCATCCTCCTTTCTTTGGGCTTGGGACTAATAATGTAAAATCTCAATTAAACTTTCTTCATTAATGTTCCATGTTTCCTTCTTATGCAACATTGGAGTATTATAGATTAAATTACTGTCCTTATATATAACTAGTGGAGTAATATCATTTTAGCCATGATCACAAACCAAAAAATGCCTACTATTTCATACCTTTTCCTTCCATTCTACATCTTTTTTTTTAATCAATGTAAACTAAAGGAGATTATAGTAAAGTTATGTCTGTATGACTTATAGGTCATGTCTCGGGATGAGTTATTGATCTTTCTTATGTATTGTTGCTGATGCAAAAACATATGATGCCTCTCTTTTTGCGTATATCGCCACTCCTTTTTGCGTATGCTTTTGATATAGTCCTCACGAAATCTTTATGTATTTATTTCTTTATATTCCGGTCCAAGGGCCACTACGAATGCGTGTGTGCAAGGTCATTTCCTTTTTTATTCTCTTTGTTGTCTTGAAAATGATATGCACGAGTTTTTTTTCTATTCTTTTGGTGTAATAAGGACGACCTCTTTTGCATAGTTAATTAATATAGAAGTAGTTAATTAAGACTCATATAAAAAGGAACATGACTTAATTACTATTCAACTGTGATATTAAGAATCCAGTTTTGGTCTTTGAGTCAATGGATTGTACCTTAGAAGTTTAGGTACATGACATTAACTTAAAGGAAATAAATATTCATGCCGTCCGTCTTTAGTTGTTCATTATATGTTTGATTTGGTACACCTTTAGAATAGAATAAATTATAGGGTAATTTTACTATGTTATCCCTATTAATTACAACTCATCTAAATGTTGTAAAATGAATACTCTCGGATAAGTACTTTTAGTATACTGAACAAGTAAAGATGAATGGAGGAATTAAGTAAACTAGCCTTGTGGAAACTGGAAATATATTCCAATGGGTGCCCTTTTTTTAAGGTAAAGATAAAGACCGGAAAAACAAAACCAATATAAAAGACCAATAGTGAGTGACTTTTGACAAGTTCTCCATGGGAAGGCAAATGCAACTCTCTCTCTCAATTATTCCAATTCTAATCTATTCCCCACTAGTATCATGAATATATTCTTTTATACCATATAATTCAAAAATAGGCCTAGTTGAGTCGCCATTTTACTTGCTTTCCCAATTTTTTTTTATAGGTAGTGGTTAATGATGGTGGTTGATTATGGTAATTGATTGTGATGATTGATAATTGTGGTTGGCGATAGTGATAATTAATAGTGGTGATTGATAGCGACGACTGTCGATATATAGTGATGGTTGATGATGGTGATTGTCAGTATATATTGATGGATGGTTATTATAATAATAGTTGTTGACGGTAATGATCGAATATAATGACTAATGGTGATGACTAGTTGTGGTAATTGACGATAGTGGTGGTTATGAATGAGGACGGTGGTCGTAAGTAATGAATGATAATAGTTAATAATGGTGGGCGTTAGTAATAGTTAGAGATGAAAAAGGATGGAGTAACGGTTAATGTCATCTTTAAGAATCCTTGATATTCAAGGTAGATTAAAGTTTGGTTGGTTGGTTTGCAAAGTCACGAAAGAGACAAGTTAAGCAAATTAATATACTGATACTATTGAATATGAAGTTTTATGAAGGCATAATACATAAACATGACCCTTAACTTGGCTTCAACGAACAACTATTCCCTCCAACTTTGAATGTGCACAAGTAAGCACTTAAACTTGTATAAAATTGAACAAGTAGACACAAGTGTCCTACATGGCATAATACACGTAGGATACAAAATAGTCATGTAGGTGCCATGTAGGACGAATGTGTCCATTTGCTAAATATTATATAAGTTTAAGTGCCTACTTGTGTAGATCCAAAGTTAAAGGTCATAGTTGGTAATTGACGCTAAGATAATGGTCATGTTTATGTATTATGCCTTTTATGAATCAAGCATGAAATATTTTCTATATCTTCCACGTGTATAAGATAAACAACTTAATGCAAAGCATATCGTGTTTGCCACTACACTGATTGATGGTGCATTGGCCTTATCATGAGAATTTCAAGAGCAATATATTTCGTGACAAATATTGCCTGATTTTTACTTTTTTAGATAATTCATATAACTTCAAAAGAATCTGTCTTTATAAATCGAGTATCATTCCTAAATAATTTTTACAAATGGTCACTAAATCACAAATCTCTCATCAATATAAAAGAAAAGTCTCAATAGCTAAAAATATAACCTTCCAATGCACTAACACACACACACACAATATATATATATATATATATATATATATATATATATATATATACTAGATATGGGACCCCGTGCCAGCACGGGGCCCAATATATGTTACTGTTTCTGTTTCAATTTATGTGGTACATATGAAATTTGAAGTTAATCAATTTTTTAGTATGTTTTTATATATTTTAAGTTGCTAATTATTTTTATTTAGAGTATGTTTTACGTAAATATATTATAAATCACAATAATTAACAAGTTAATATAAAAAAAACTTATAAAAAATTCATTGACTTTTGAAATTTCATTTGTATCACATAAATCAGGACAAAGCGAGTAATATATATGAAAATTACATAAAACGTACTATAACTCAAAATAATTAGCAACTTAAAATATCTATATATCTATATTTCTCCCAATTTATGCGCTATAGATGAAATTTTGAAAGTTAACAAAAACTTTTTATATGTTTTCAAATATTTTAAGCTATTAATTGAAGTATAAAAGAAATTTTTTTTAAAAAGGAAACATAAATGTCAGCAGGAGTTCAATTTATGTAATTTTTATGTTTTAATTATTGTAATACCGATTGAATTTGGAGAGGCAACTAAATTTTTTTAAAGAATTTTTTTTATAAATTTTAAGTTGTTAATTATTATAATTTATAATATTTTTATTAATTTTAAACCAATATATGTTTTTCTTTGTCTCAATTACATGAGACATATGAAATTTGGAGAGTCAACTAAAATTTTAAAATATGTTAAGTTGTTAATTATTATACCTTATAGTACTATTACGTGATTTTCAAATAAAATATGTAATTTTTTTATTTCAATTTATATGTCATTGATATAAATACATATATTAAGTAATGAAGAATTAATGTGTAAATTATGTGACACCTATG